ATTTCTAAATGGGTGGAGTGTGAGATAAGCAACGATAAAGCACTTCAAAATCCTGACTCAAGCATTCATTGACTGTAGAGAAGCAGTATGGTTCTGGAGAGCTCAATTAGTAGAGAATTGCAGTAATTGATACGGGACAGTATAAGAGTGTGAACAAACTCCTTGTATATGAGTGCAATGTTAAGTTGAAAATGACAACAATTAGTGACAGACTGAAGATATAAGGGTGAGCCTAGACTCAAAGATGACACCTAGGCAACGAGTTTGGGTAAATAGGAGTTCCATCAACTTACAGAATGAGTGACACCAGAGGATTGATTTTGTAAAAACAGAATGTAAGAAGCTCGATTTTAGAGGAATTAAGCCATAGCATTAACTTCAAGAAGGTCTGGTAAGAGATCAGGGCAGGAGAGGTAAATCTGGGTGTCATATGGGTGGTGCTGTAAATGAACTAATATATTTTCCAGGAGAGGCAGTAAAAAAAGAGAAAGCCAAGGAAGGTGGTGTTACCAAAAAATTATATACTCAAGAAGAATTGGTAGAGAGAATGAGAACCATGTAAGGATTAGGTCACAAAGTCCCAGTGTGTGAAGGGTTTGGAGAAAAAGGGTTTGGTCAACAGTGTTATATGCAGCAGAGAGGTCTAGCAGTATTGCTATGGAGTAGTGACCTTTGGATTTGGCCACAATTAGTTTATTAGTCACTTACTGTCAGGGTTATTCACTGAAATCTTAATATTCTCAAAATGAAGCTGAATAAAACAAAATTACACAAGGTAAATGAGAAAAGGCCTGATGGGGTGATAAAGAATGGGATTGAAGGAGCAGGTGACGAGGCACATGAAAAGGAGATGTAAAGATGTCCTGTTCAGTAACTAGGTTGAAGGTTTGAAAGACAAGAGAAGCAGAAAACAAGAGAGGCTGAGAGGTATGATATGTCAGCATAATTCTTCCCTCAAATGATAAATTTTATCAGTAGAGTAGCTTGCAAAGTTGTTAGCTGTTCGGTTAGTTTTCATTCGTAGTAAGGCTATGGCTGGATAAAGTAAGGTAACAAAGAGTCAATTGGAATTATGAGAGCAGAGAGATGGCAGTGTTGAGAGCACAACATGTGTTTGCATTAGAAATTGTTGCACTGTGTCTTACTTCCTCCACTTCAAAGTTCAGCTGAGCAGGACCATCTTTCTTGGTTACAGCTTAAAGGACCACTATAGTGCCAGGAAAACATACTCGTTTTCCTGGCACTAATGCCCTGAGGGTGCCCCCACCCTCAGGGTCCCCCTCCCGTCCGGCTCTGGGTTGAGGAAGGGGTTAAAACTTACCTATTTTCCAGCGCCGGGCGGGGAGCTCTCCTCCTCCTCTCCTCCCTCTTCTCCTCCTCTTCGGCTGAATGTGCACGCGCGGCAAGAGTTGCGCGCGCCTTCAGCCGGCCTCATAGGAAAGCATTCATAATGCTTTCCTATGGACGCTTGCGTCTTCTCACTGTGATTTTCACAGTGAGAACCACGCAAGCGCCTCTAGAGGCTGTCAATGAGACAGCCACTAGAGGATTTGGAGGCTGGATTAACCCTAACATAAACATAGCAGTTTCCCTGAAACTGCTATGTTTATTAAAAAATGGGTTAAACCTAGCTGGACCTGGCACCCAGACCACTTCATTAAGCTGAAGTGGTCTGGGTGCCTAGAGTGGTCCTTTAACTTAATGTGCCAAGAGTGGAAGTGTGCTTGCCTTAAGATATATAGGAGAGCTACCTTGTCCAGGGCAGAGGTGAGGCTAGAATTACATAATTTGACAGAATTTCTGCGGAGTGAGCATGCAAGAGTGAACAAGCTTATTTATCTGTGTGTTAGTCCATGTAAAATAATATGATCACTGCATGTGGCGTCTCAAACAATGTTTATTTTTGTCTGATTTCACAAAATTATATAAAAAAAATGTTTTATGCTCATACAAGAAATTGAACCCTGGCTGCCAGGGTAAAAACAAAACATCTAACCACTAGGCTACAATGGAGTTTAATGTGCCCACAATGCTCAGTTTCAATACCAGTAGTACTTGTCTGCTAATATGTCCCCTAATCCCAGCATTTTGTGTCTGCTGACTGTGTGTTCTGCTGACTATCCCAGGTTTCCAGGTACAAATACTATAATTATTGTCTCTGTCCTACAGTCTTTTTTTTTTTTTTTTATTGAATTTTTCTGTGCTGAAGCACTTCATTGCAACTGACTATTGTATAATTTTCAATATGTTTTAAGGTTTTCAGTGCCATATGGATCACTCACATTGCTGTGCAATGTGCTGGTCATATCTCTGCCACTTAAAATGTTTAAACAAATGGAATGAGATATGACAGAGGATACGATTTTACAGAACTGTAATTGTATTATTATTAAGTAAAGAAAAAAGCATACATTATGTTAGGTACATGCTGTAAAAATATTAAAAAGAAATGTTTTCTCCATCTAATTAAAATAAAATTGACATTTACCTTTTTGGATATGGCTGGTCATAGTCATACATATAATACCGTTTAGTGCCCTGTAAATTTAGGAGGAAACTTCATACACTTGTTGCTCCAGATAAAAGGAAGTAGATATATAAAGTCCTGCATTATAAATCATATAAAATGTACAGAGCATCTCACATAAGCAGGCGTACGAAATGCTCAAACATGGTAAAGGATAATACCATACTATACTATTCCTACTTTACTTGTTTGGAACTCAAGGTGAACACATCATTCATGGACCCAATCAGTCTACTACTTAAAATTACTACTCATAATAGCAGATCTTGTCTAATTATTAGAGCTGTATTTCGTAATGCAACATTTGGGCCTGCCGTTAGGGTAATTTTATTCTCAAAACAGTGAATTGTAGTGAATTGAAAATCATATTGTAGAACTGAAGCCAAGGTAACGGAATTGTAGAAATTCTCAAATTCAGTTTTATTTCCAGCATGGCTAGTTTAACCTAAATAATTGCTTATTTCCAAATTAGTTTTTTTACTTGATGTCCGTTCCTCGTTTATAAATATATACCCCATTAGAGAGCATCTACGAACAAGCCACAGTTGACAAATTCTTAACAATGAACGGTGTGTAAAATAAAGTTACAAGAATTAAGGCCTTATCATTTATAAGTAATGGGAAATTGGACTTCCTAAAAATATGGTATAAAAAAACCAACAGCAACAATGTTGTTTATTTCTAACGTGTGGTCAGTCAGTGTTTTAGTGACTGTGTGGTAAGATAGCTTTAACTTCGGGATATATTTATACAATTATAAAGTGTACTAACTACTATTTATCTTATTTTTTTTTTTTTTATTTCTCTTGGTGCAAGTGCACAAATACAATTATTATCTAGTGCTGGGATAGGACAACCTTTGGCACTCCAGATATGGTGGTCTGCATCTCACTTGATACTTTGCAAGCATTATGGTTGTAAGAGAATTATGGGAGCTGTAGTCCACAACATCTGGATTGCTGCAGGTTGCCTAGCCTGATTTAGCATCTGGGTTTCTGTTGGCAATGTATTCATTCTTGCCTACCACAGAGTGATAAGTAGTCTAGCTCTATAGAAAATGACAAAAACACCAAACTCTATATTTATGACACAAAAAAAAACAGAGCAAATTAAAGGTAAAGTGTGAAATACAGAGAAACATTTTATCGGTTTTCATGGTGATTGTTTGATCTTATAACACTGTCAGATTATTATGAGCAAGGTAAAAGATCAGTCTTACTTTTTTTTTTTAACTGTTCAAAATCATTGTCCATTTCCTTGTGAACTGTCTGACTAATTATTTTTAATGTAGAATATGAGCTTACATTAACGTTGCACTTTAATCATTCAAAAAGTATAACAAATATATAACTTTTTCTATTTTTCAGGCCAAAGAAGGAGAAGTAGCTATTATTAATAAGATTCTGGAAAAAACAGATCTGACATCTAAAGACTTTCAAGAATGGAAGCAGCTATACCTTGATCTTTTTCAAGATATCTGTCCAAACAATAACCTAAAGGACTGTGAAAGTGCTTCTTCAGAAGTAGATGCCCTCATTCAGTCTCTAGCACATTCACATTCATATATTGAAACGCATGTATAATTGTCTTCATCCACTGAAACCCCTGAAAAATTGATATTTTCTATTAATATATGGAAAGTCTAGTAAAAAAATAATCTATTTTAATGTTGCTGATCTAAGTGGAGTAATTCATATATGGTACCAATGCCAATTTCTATGTTTTGGCATTTGTATATTTTCTATGCTGTCAGTGCTCAGCTATGTGTTTATTTTGTGGTTAAAAAAAAATAAAATAAAATGTGTAAATGTTAACTGAGCTATAAATAGGAAGCAATTTTCTTAGAGCTTCGTATATGAACAAAATTTTGTAAACCTTTAAATATCTGGGTAAAAGTACAAGTTTGGCAAATGACAGAAAATTAAAAACATTTTTATAATTCCTAAAATACTGTAACTAAGTCTCAAAAAAGTATTTCATGTTGTAGGTATATTTTTGAGGACGTAGAGTAGATTAGAACTCGGAAAACATGAAGATAAAGCTTTATGCGATCTGGAAATTGATTGTTTTATAAGATATGTTACTAACAATTATTAGTACAAGCCATCTTTTGCTATTGCTTTTACATGTCTACGTTCTGGGAAATCCACAGTCCTGCTATATCAACATCAACCCTACAGCTTATGAAATGTACCACATCGCTAGTATATATTATACAGTGCCATAAGTATATTAAAACTCCCAAAAACTACCTCCCTGAATATTTTCAATTGCACCAAAGTGTGATCGTCACTGATAAATCATGTCGAGTAGAGCTATACATATAAATAAATCATCCTGAGATATTATTTAAGATATTAATTTAAAAAATATATATATATATATTTACATCTAATTTTACATACATAGATGTTTCTATGAAACTTTTTTCTAAAGTTATATCAAACAAAGTTTTTTCATTTTTTCCTGGTCAAACTGTCAAGATTGTACACTATTTAGAGCCTATAAAAGAGAAAATAAGAATTTGTTAGTTATTAGTAATTTTTTTTTAGCACTTGTGCTTTTGTGTTTGCACTACTAAACAATCTGGAACCTAGTAAAAATGGTCATTTTCAGAAAAAAAATGATGTATACTTTTCTATTAAACATAGATTTTGAAGGAAAATTCAACCTTTAGATTTGAAATGAAAATACATGATAATTTGAAACATCTTTTTACAGCAGAATCTTATAAACATTTGCCAGTGTTACTTTGATGGGTTTTTAAGGGTACACAATGTAAATGAGTTATGCCTGAATAACTTTAGATTCAAATGCGACAAGGAGCATTATTAAGTTACTAGTTGATGTAGCCATTTACAGCTGATAAAAAAATTAAACACAAATGACAGCGTGTTCTCATCAAGACAAAATATTTGTACAAAAAGAAAAGCACTTAAAACTTACAACCTTACAATACTGACAATTCAGCAAGACCCAAACACCAAGTGCTTTTTATTGTAAACTGTTTTAATAGTGCTTATAATGAAAACATCATCAATATAACTTTTAATAAATAGACAGCACAATAGCTTACTTAAAGGGTAGAATGCAAAGTTCTACCAAATCTTTAAGACCTGTAGCTAGACCTCTTTGTGGTTCATTTTGGTGGTCAAATGAAATTTGAAATTGCCAAATTTATAAAACAATAACAAAATGTAAATATTTTTTCCAGTGCTATTGGCTGATTAAAAATTAAGTCTGGTGTTGGAAAGGCATTGCATGTATTCAAAACTGGTTTAATGGATTAGGGTGTCCTCAAAACATTTCCAACATTAGATTTTAAATTGGTTCTTCTCCAACATATTTGTAAATGTTTGTGAATTTCAACATAAGATAGTTGTACGTTGACCTTTTTTTTTTTTTTTATTTATGGATCATGTATGCTGAAGTAATTTGCAATGCAAACTTTATCAGGTAAAGCACATATATTTTCTATATCTATACAGCTCTAAAAAAGTGTCCTTTATAGCAAGCACAGACTGAGCACAAAATATATTTGTATGAGGAACTAAATCACAAATTATGAACCCTGCCCAATTATCTATTTAACAGTATATGTTTTATTTCTACACTGAAGAAAAAATCTACTAAATAAGTGGGATCTATTGTGTGTGGCTCATCTATGTTTATTTATATACAATTGGGTTTATTTACAAGACAAAAGATTGTAGTGCATTGATATATATTTTTTTTTTTATTATTTTTTTTTTTAAAGAAGTGCAATTTTTAGGCTAAAGTAACTGCTTTGGGCAAATTCTCTAACTCTCTGTCCTAAATTTTGCAATTTGTTTTTCAATTCACTATAACACAGTGTTTAGTAAATAAACCAAAAGTTAGTTTCGTTTTTTCCTTTTGTAGTTTCTTGGAAAAAGTAAAAAAAAAACAAAACCTGCGCAGCTTGCTGAATGTACTTATGTTTAGAAATATGCCAGTATTTATAGTAGTTTTTAGAGCCAAATATTGGAGTATTCTTTATTTTTTCATATTTGGTTGTAAATGTTTTATAAACATTACATGACTTGCCAACGGAAGGAGAGGCCTTTTCTGGGTATATTTTGCTTAATTACCATATAAATTCTAAATAAATATGCAGTTTTGGTTAGGAAAATAAGTACTGAAATAGTATTTGTATAATTTGAGAGAAGAAGTATGTTTGAACAAAATAGATGGGCTCTTTCTGCATGAACAGAGAAAGTTCTGCTAATTGTAATTTCTATTAATATGTAAAAAGAAAAACTTTAATGTGTCAAACTGGTTTGTGCCTGTGGGAAATTCACCAGTGCTTCTTTTACTCGACCAATCAAACTTATTAAAATCATCTTTCAAATTTGATATTGATTTGAAGACCTAATTAGCTAATATTTTTATTGTGATCCTGCTGCTGTTTAAAATCAACCATACGTTACTTAATATTTATGATATGATCTGTTGCTAGGTTTCTTAAATTATTCTATAAATCTTTACCTTTTACAATAATATCTAAATACCCATAAACTATTAAACTCAACCCCAGTTTTTTTCTTTATGTGACCCATTATAGAGCCATCACTTACCAAGTAGACTTTAGGATTAAATTATGAGGGTCAGCTATTTCTTTATAGTAGGAGGTTTAGAATTCACACATTTTAACTGTGTGGTCCCCGTATGTGTTTTTTCAAGCCCAAAATAATTAGATAAGACCGGGAAACCCAACTAGAATTTATTCTTAAGGCTCAGCATCCTGTGAGATTGCTTGAATTTCCTCATTTAACACATCTAACAATCAATTAATATTCTGTATTGATGCATAATGTGATACATATATTTCTGAAAATATGCACCACATGAAACTGCTAAATTAATTGCTGGATAGTTCTTTCACTTCTCCAAAAGGATTTGTTATACCAATGTTTGTTCTGGAAGTACTTTCCAAACAGATATACATTACGAATGCACAAATGCCACCTATCGATGAATATAATGTGTGACAACTAACTGAAAATTATTTATTTGCAATGGCTAAATAACATAAATTAAGCATTCATCCATTCTTCAAATATCTGATCTCATTTATACTGCTTTTCGTTTATGTCATCAAAAAAGTCAATGACATTTGTTCTCTTGAAATAAAATACTTTTACAAGTGACTTGAGAAAATGTGTTTTTAATTTATCTGCATACACCAATGCCTCAATGCAAGATTATGTGTGTCTAATAATACCTTAATGATTAAAAAAATTCTTATTACATCACATTCTATATTTATATACATAAAGTGAGAATAAATTAACCATAATAGCACATTTGTTTTTAACGTCCATAGGATTAATATTTTTTTTATAAATCTCTTTAATATCCTTTGTACTTCCCAAGATTTGTCCACAGAAACTTCAGTTTTTATGGTAAATCCTAGAATATTGCAGGTTATTTCATGACTTAATAATGTGCCATTTAGTGAAGGTTTTGTTTTGGAACTATATCAAACTATTTTATTTCACATTTAATTTTGACATATTTAATATATATTGTCAATAAAATAGCTATGAAGTTCTATAGTACATTCCCGCACACCAAATAATTAAGTTCTAAAAAAAGAAGCAAAACTAGGATAGTGTACGAGGGACAGAGGGAACTTGATCCAAAATGAGAGCCATTTGATAGTTTTAATCCTGGACGAAGTTTCACTGCAGACATAGTCAACCATCATGAGTGTTTATAACATAAATAGAACAGATTACCTGATTGCTTCCTAGTAAGCTATAAATATTACCAGCTTTCAATTATGTCTTGACTAACTTTGACCATGACTCTCCCTGGTTAATTTTGACTATGTTCCGCCCCCTATGTAGTCTAAACCTACTCTAAAATTATTTGTTTACTTTATGCTTTATAAGTTATTTGCATCATTTCTGGCCAAAAACTCAATTGATTTTCAGCTGTGGTACCTCTGGTCTTCATCTTGTTGTCTATTAAGAAGAGGGTATGGGTGTACCAGTGTGTTTGCCCATAGAAAGGCGAATATATCTTGATATATTTATTTTTGTTTTTGATATCAAAATATCTACATCAATCCTAATGCCAATTTATTTCTGTGAATAACCTCTTTTAGAGCAGACAGGTACAAAGATTTAATATTACAAAAATGCAAATATAGAATTCAGTATGTAAAAAAGAAAGCAAAGTGGTTCAGGTTATGTAAACTCACCAAGAATGCTCCATAGTTCATGAATTGAGCATTTATGAAGCACTTTGTCCCAATAACATCTGAACATCTGAAATCTTGCAGTTATTGGGATAAAGTGCTTCATAAATGCTCAATTCATGAACTATGGAGCATTCTTGGGCCTAGACAGGACATACTTGTGCATAGGGAGGATAGATAGGTGAGAGCAGCATTATGATTTGAAAAGCAAGAACCAGAATTTTAAATTGAGCCCTATATCTTACAGGAAGCCAATGTAGGGACTGACAGAAGGGTGAGGCGTGGGAGGTGCAGGCGGATAGGAAGATGAGCCTCGCTGCCGCATTCATTATGGACTGTAATAGCGCAAGTTGAGAGCACGTAAGACCCCTGAGAAGTGGATTACAGTAGTCAAGGCAAAAAAGGACAGTGGAATGGACCAGCACCTTAGTCGCATCTGGCATTAAGTAGGGTCGGATGTGTGCAATGTTTTTGAGATGGAAACGACAGGATTTGGAGATAGACTGAACAGGCTTGAAGGAGAGGTCGGAGTCAAAGAGAACACCTAGGCAGCAAGCCTGCGTGGTGGAGCTGATGGTAGCACCGTTGACTTGGAGGGAGACAGACACAGGTGTAACAACACTTGAGGGAGGAAAGACCAGAATGTCAGTTTTGGTCAAGTTTAGTTTAAGGAAGTGGGCAGCCATCCAGTTAGAAATAGCAGAGAGGCCATCAGAGACACTAGTCAAGAGGGACAGGGAGAGATCAGGAGATGACAGGTAGATTTGTGTGTCATCCGCATATAAATATATTGGAAGCCAAATGAGCTAATGAGTTTACCAAGGGAGGCAGTATAGATGGAGAACAGTAGGAGACCAAGCACTGAACCTTGGGGGACACCAACAGAGAGGAGTTGGGGAGAAGAAGCAGGGCCAGAGAAAGAAACACTGAAAGAGCGCTGGGAGAGGTAGGAGGAGCACCAGGAGAAAGCAATATCTTGTAGACCGATATTGCGGAGGATGAGAAGAAGCTGTTGATGATCAACAGTGTCAAAAGCCGCAGACAGGTCAAGGAGAATTAGGATAGAGTAGTGACCACAAGATTTTGTAGCGAGTTGATCATTGGATACTTTGGTCAGTGCCTCTTCCACAGAGTACTTAGCGTGGAAACCAGACTGAAGTGGGTCTAGCAGAGAGTTGGACTCGAAGAAGTCTGTCAATCTCGCATACACAACTCTTTCAAGGATCTTGAAAGCAAAAGGCAGTAGCGAGATAGGACGGTAGTTGGATGGGGAGTTAGGGTCAAGGTTGGGCTTCTTTAGAATTGGGGTTACAGTTGCATGTTTAAATTGGGTTTTACCAACCCGGTCTTTGATGCACCTCAAGAGTGCGGTATCCTTTATGTGCTTATGGAAGATGACATGTTCGTATTATAATCAAACGACCAAGAAAAAAATATTTTGCTATCGCAGTATGAAACTGTAATTATCCGTATGCTCCAAGCGAGAGAAAAAATGGATTGTGTTTGAAATATAGGTCTCGATTTAATATTTTTGGATAAGCTTTTACAAATGATCCAAATGATTTATCTGAAAACATCTCCATAGACTTTAATAGTGACTTCTCTAGATAAATCATTTAAAAGGTTTTGTTTTTGTAACAGATTGTGATCATTCAAAAATATTAAATTGAGGCCAAAAAGTCAGATATCTTCCTATTTGCTACTGTGCAATTATACAGCCCTAAAAGACAGGCGTGCCTTCTTGCTCACCTATTGGACTGTCATAAGCTGCTCGAAGAGTGTGGAGTTTTCAGATCTCCATTTTGACTCCATGCTGGCTGCATAGTTGAATTCTGGTGCTTCTGCTACTCCATGCTTTGAATACATCCCTCTACTTTCTCCCCTGCTGTCTCTGATAAGCCTCTCCCGACTCCATGCTTTTTTAATTCATTCTTTATTTTTGCAGTGCATTAAGATACAGTCAGGCTTATCATGCCCCAACAGTAAAAAATAAGCCGGTCAAAATACAAAGCCACATGTTGTAAAACATTAAGATAAAACATGCAAATTTTTAAAGGTATAGTAGTCCGTCTAGGAACACACATCTGGGTATACAGTGAAGTATAAGCTTACATGTAAATAAACCATGCCAGACTTGAGGAATGAGGATGAGTCCCTCCATCACTCTCTTCCCAGTTAATGGCTCTCCACTGTACTCTCTCCCAGGTAAGAACTGAAAGTCCTGTTCCCCAGCCAGGTATGACTTTGTCTGATGCTCTTCATATAGAATCTGAACTGAACTGTTAAGTTAGTAAAGTTGGCATATACAGTACAATTAATCTGAATCGGTACATTTTTTAACGACTCCACAGCCCTGGCACTAAGCTAATTGATCAATGTAATGACAAACTCATGATGCATATAATAACTCATGATGCCTATAGTTAAATGTCCATTAATTGAAAAAATATTGAATGAATAAATCTAATGAAAAATAAAACGTAAAACAAATCCAAAAAGTTATTGTTTTTTTTATCATTCTTTGTTTGTTTAATATTTTTCGAAGATTACAGAAATAGAAAAAACTGATACATAACAAAATTATCAATTATTGTATTTGATTACGTAACATAAGCTATAATAAATAATATCTAGGTTCTGACTTGCCAGTATCCGAGGATAAGTGGAATGCAGTTCCAGCTCAGGCAGGAACAATAAATATTAAGCAATGGGGGTGTTTAAGAGGGATTAGAACATAATAGACAGAGGTTATATACAGTTTATAGTAGGAGCGGTTTACCAAACTGGTCATACTCATAATACTAGACATATAAACAATGAATAAGTGAATTATTGGTTTATCAGTGTCATATGAAGGTTCACTGACAAAGGGTGGGTGTAAAGCGTTAATATTTTGTTACTTTAATTTTCCTTCTTATTTACAATCTAGAAAGAAAGTTTTATCCAATTCAAGAATGCTATTTATTTTCCCCATAGGAAAGCCTTAAATCAATGCTTTCTTTTCAAATTATTTTTATTATAGATACATTTGCTTCCATAACAGTAAGAATAATGATATAATATGAATATATATGTAAATAACATACATTAAAAATAAATAAATAACCGGGAATACAATTTACACATATCATCCGATACAATATGTAATGATTTTTCCAATAAAGTATAGTGAGTTATTAAAAAAAAAAAAATGAATATAGATGCCGAATATGTTACGTGCAACAATGTGGTTAAAATAAGATCATATAAATAACTTCATCTGGTCAGGTGAAGTTATACGTTACATATATATTTCTTGACAACCCGTTCCCAGAGTTCCCATTCATATTTCAGAACATTAATTGTATTGGAAGGTGGTCTAGAGGCTAATTCAAATCTCTTGGTTTCTAGAGTATTTTGCAACACCTCAGTCATAGAAGGAATAGTGGCTGTTTTTCAATATCGAGGAAGGACCGAAGTGACTAAAAACCAAGAGATGGCCTTAAATAATTATTTTAATTTTGGGCAAATCATCTTGGAATCTTTCCAGGAGACACAATTCTGGTGTTATAATGGGTATTTAAACAGTGATGAGCTAAACTAGAGTGTGAATACCTTCCCAATACTGTTTTAGTTTAGGGCAAGACCAAAAGACATGATACAGAGTACCAATTTGACCGCACTCCTCCAGCATGTTTTAGTCTGAGATAGTTGCCATTTTAAAAGTCCCATTTTGTCATATAGTCTAATTTTGGACCAGATTCCCCAGCAAAATAAGTATAGCACATTGAAATGGTGCGTTTCCGACCAGGATCTGAATGATACTTTTTTTTCTAATTAAGGCATTATAACTTTATGTATGTTCAGATCCTGATCAGACACATTAAAACGATCACTAAGTAAATCCACCATCAAGGCATCAGAGGCGTCCAAACCAAACTTGGTCTGTTATTGGTGAAAAAGTAAAAAATTATTAGACAAAAATGAATCATTAATATGTATGACAGAATGGGAAAGCCAATATTCCACATCTAGATCCCGGAACGCAGATCGCAAAACCCACAAGGGAGCAGCCCTGGACCAGGTAGTAGAAGGGGTGATCTTTTTATACAAGCATTAATAGTGACTTTGGTAGTAGGAAACATGTTCGGCACCCGTGGCCTTTGGGACGGAGGCAAGCATAGCACTTCTTTTATTAAATGAGGAAAAAAATTTGTAGCCTCCATCTCAAGCCACAGAGGGCGCCCATGATCCAGAGGAAATTTAAGAGTTTGGAAAACCAATAACTCCACTAACTCTGAGCTTTTTTAAGATGGCCAATTGAATTCTGCAAGATTTCCTATTCCATATAAATGTCAGAAGGGCAGAATGAACCATCCTAAAAAAGGATAATGGTGTAGTGAGGAGAATCACTGTAAGGAAATATAAAATTTTGGGAAGGAGAGTCATTTTAACCAAATTAAATCTACCTAACCATGAAATTTCAAGACCACACCACCTCTCAATGTCCTCCCTAACTGAGGGCCAGACCGTAGCTTGGTTATAGAAATGAATCTTCAACAGATTTTTACATAGATTGATGCACAAATAGGAAATATATAATTCTCTCCAGTCGAAGTCAAATTCATCTTTTAGAATATCCAATTTTTGCCATGGTATAAAGAAGGAAAGTGCCTGTGTTTCTTTTGGATTCCGTTTGTAATGAGAAAAGATAGACATTAATGGTGGAACCGATGTCAAAGGATTTTTCATAGCATTAAGTCATCTACAAAAAGACCTATCTTATGTTCTTTATCTGCTACTGCCAATGCCCTTAATACCTGCGCACTGTCTTATTGATTCATCCAGGGGCTCCATTGCTAACACAAATAAAAGCGGCGACAACAGACACCCCTGTCTGGTTCCATTAGACTAAAGTAAAATCTTCGGAAATAAAGCCGTAGCTGTTGGATTACAATATAGCGCAAATACAGCCTTGATGAAAGGATCTGGAATATGAAACCTCGACATAACCTCTCTCATGAAATTCCAATGAATCCTGTCGAACGCCTTCTCTGCATCTAAAGATAAGAGCAGAGAAGACGTACGATTTAGTTTAATTTGGTGCATCAAATTTATGAAACGTCTTGTACTATTCAGGGCCTGACGGTTCAAAACAAAGCCCACCAGGTCTTTGGCACAAGTTTTCCCATTTTTAATTGACAATAGATTAGCCAATATTTTAGAATATAATTTTGTGTCTTTCTGTATCAATGAAATCGGGTGGAAATTTGAACATGAATTAGGTGTTTTACAAGGTTTAAGTAATATTATAATTTGAGCGAACAAAGTCTCCCCTGGCATTACTCCATAGGTCCAATAATGGTTAAATAAATCAGATAAATAAGGTGCTAAAGTGCCAGAGAAGGACTTATAGTAAGACATTGTAAAGATGTCAGGTCCCGGAGCCTTGCCAGACAGAATCATTTCAATGGCGTCTACATTAGAATAGTATTTATTTTATATGTAATTTTGGTACATTTTTCGTTTTCTTTCTGTTTCCATATACTAGTTCAATAATTATTTAAACATTTGGTCGACAATCATCTTCTCCAATATGGGGACATATTTAATATTTTTAGAGCATGCTCCCTGCTCCATTTCCAGTAAAAGAAGAGCACTGCCTTATTCATTTTGCAAATCACATTTATTTAAAGCAAAATATCCTAAAAGGAAATTAGAAGAAATATACCCAGTATTACATTGCTACAAAAACTGTTAAAGAGGGAACAGGCCTGATGGTAAAGAACAAAGTAAACAATTGGACCATTTGTCTACTTTAACTGCTGTCAGCTATTTGGGATCAATGATCTAGCATTGCTTGCATCAAGCATTGTCCATGGGGTAAACTTTGGGACTCTTTGCCAAGCACCCCTTGTTATTAATAGGGAGCCTCTTCACCCTTTAACCTGGTTTTAAATTGTAGTACACGGTGCATGGATTAAAATTAGGGGCTTTCTAAAGCGTGACTCTCCTCACAATCTCCATAACTGGAGCAGCCGCAATAAGTAAAACATCTTCAAAATATCTGAAACTTCACAGCATACATAGTATTGGGTCACCCTAAAAATCGCTCTTCATTATGGTCCATATTCTATACTATGGGTGTGATATGAGCTCTACAGAGTAATTCAAAATTCTGCAACAGCCTGAATAATTGGAAGATGCTTATTATTAGATTATTGCATCCTTACTATTGTGTAATAGACCAATAGTTGTACATTACATATTATGTATGTTTCATTATACAACAATACTACTCCTCCATCCTCAATGATCATTACGTATCTTAATATTTTTTTTACAGGGAATGGTTCTTGATTTTGACTCAATTGATATTTATTTTATACTTCAGAATATGTTGAGAACTTAAAATCACTTAATGTCCACATTCATATTTTATATAAAATGATATGTTTGTATATTGGCACCAACTGACATTTCCATAAGAATTTCGCATAATGACACAGAATGCAAAGTGTTCTTTAACAATTGTATTAAAAAAAAAAACTAATAAACATTTAGGGATATTTTGAATATTCAAATCTGCATTACATACCGTATTTTTCGCTCCATAAGACGCACCTCACCATAAGACGCACCTAGTTTTTAGAGGAGGAAACCCAGAAAAAAAAATATTCTGAACAAACTGTTCCATGGTGTTTCTTACCATGGGACAGTTTGTTCAGAATATTTTTTTTTCTCCCCTGTCCCATAATGATCTTTAACCCCCCTTTCCTCTGTCCCATAGTGATTGTTAACCCCTCCTACCCTGTCCCATAGTGATTGTTAACCCCTCCTACCCTGTCCCATAGTGTTCTTTAACCTCTCCTCCCCTTGTCCATTAGTGTTCTGATCCCATAGTGTCCCCCCCTCCCATTGTCCCATAGTGCACTTTCCCTCCCATAGTGTCCCCCCCTGCCCTTGTCCCATAGTGTCTCCCCCTCCCCTTGTCCCATAGTGTCCCCCCTCCCCTTGTCCCATAGTGTCCCCCCCTCCCCTTGTCCCATAGTGTCTCCCCTCCCTTTCTCCCATAGTGTCCCCCTCCCCTTGTCCCATAGTGTCTCCTCCCCTCCCCTTGTCCCATAGTGTCTCCTCCCCTCCCCTTCTCCCATAGTGTCCCCCCTCCCCTTCTCCCATAGTGTCTCCCCTCCCTTTCTCCCATAGTGTCCCCCTCCCCTTGTCCCATAGTGTCTCCTCCCCTCCCCTTGTCCCATAGTGTCTCCCCCTCCCCTTGTCCCATAATTACTTACCTGTCTTGGAGCGTGGGCCGGCTTCACAGCGCGCTCTGCGGTCCAGGAACTTCTATTTCAGGTTCCGGTTTCCATCGGGACTGAAAGGAAGTGTGCACGCTCCAAGACAGGTAAGTAATTCTTCACATTCGCTCCATAAGACGCACAGACATTTCCCCTCACTTTTGAGGGGAAAAAAGTGCGTCTTATGGAGCGAAAAATACGGTATATCCTTTAGTTATATATAAAAAAAAATCTGCATACTTAAAAAAGTTGAATCTGTACGCATATTGAGTTTATGTATTGTTTCTTCCACAACAGAATATCTGATCATTACCTTAAGACAGGTAAACAATAATTACTCCTAGAATGTTGCAAAGTTACATACGTAATATGCTTAATTAAAGTTTATTGAATTTTTATTTTTATAATAACTGATAGTCTTGAAAAATAATTGAATAACATTTCAATACAAATCAAGTCTAGAGGCAATTATTTTTCTCTAAATCAGCATTAAGATAAATGTGATTGCATTAACACCCAATGCCTCTATATTGTTTATGCTATTACATATATTATATTGGATCAGAATTGACAGTTTCTGGCTAAGACGTTCGACGAGCAGCACATAAAAAAAGTTTTGCCCTGTGGTATGTAGATCTTACATGTTGTATGAATCATCATTAATTTTAGGATTGCCTTCCTGTAACCATGGTAATCTACATGCTACAGGGAAGAACTTTTCATGCAATGTTCACTAATGGTAGGGATATATAATCTCACCCCACACTATCATTCTCTGACAGGAGCGAAGCCTTCATGACCTTTTTTTGTTGTTCATTGGGTTCTGTGTACAGAAACGTATTTCTGTAACCCACTGCTTAACCCCTTAAGGACACATGACATGTGTGACGTGTCATGATTCCCTTTTATTCCAGAAGTTTGGTCCTTAAGGGGTTAAAGGGGCACTCCGTCCACAATACAATTTTAATACATCTGATAGATTTGATAGATTTTGCCCTCAACGATATGCAGTATTTTTTGCATGCTCAAATCTTCATAGTTTTTCTTAAAAAAAACAAATATTTTGCAGAAACTGCAAATAGTTACTGATATCCTTACTATATTACTCCCTTGGTTTTCTCTCCTTCTAATGAAGGTTGTTCTGTAGTGCAGATGATTCCGTACTGTCTGTGGCTGAGCTGTGTACATACATTTGATAAGGAAGTATTTTTCTTGAGTTAAGTGCTGTGGCGAAAGAGGCAGGCTTATAGTGCAGCATTCTGCAAAGCATTTATTTATATTATTCAAAAACTATAAAGATTTAAGAATGCAAGCATATTTAGAGGCCAAAACCCATCAAATGCATTGAAGTTGTATTGGTACTCCGAGTGTCCCTTTAAGAATACAGGTATTTATGGCATTTCTGCCAACTTGAACAACTGCTTATTCTGTATGATCAATAATATGTAGTTTTTAACCACATACTTAATACATATGTGCATTGTATATTATATTATATTCTGTAAGTCTACAAACTGTACACTTTAAAATTTGCAAAGTACAGTCTGAGAATCATAGATTGTTAGTTGTTAGTGATATGCAAACACCACTATGTTTAGCATCAAAAATATTAACATGGTAAAAGTTACAAACAAACATCTTCTTTATTCAGTCATTTAGCAATCATTTATTAGCTATCCGGTGTTACTGTAAGAGAACTTGCCAGCATTTCGGTTCTGAGCTGCCCTTATGGGTGCAAAAGCTATAGGTTCATTCTGTAATGGCACAAATGAGCGAAAACTAGTTTGAGACCTGAGCGGGAATTTACCGAAAGGCAAACCACTGAGATCCTCTAACCTTTTGCCTTTTCTCAAAGTTCTCTCTGCTTTTGTAGCTATTAGTTTAAACAAGATGATCTACATAATAATGTAGCCACTGAGTACAGATTGTGATTAGTCATAAAACCAATTAGTACCTCCACTTTGCCATAATGAGTCTCCATTTTATATTTTCCATTAGGTCAGCCAAATGCAAATCCCAAACATCCTTCCACTACTTTACTGAACTAGAAACGTAGAAATATTGAAACATAGAATGTGACGGCAAATAAAAACCATTTGGCCCATCTAGTCTGCCCAATCTTCTAAATACTTTTATTAGTTCCTGGCCTTATCTTATAGTTAAGATAGCCTTATGCCTATCCCACGGATGCTTAAACTCCTTTACTGTGTTAATCTCTACCACTTCAGCTGGAATGCTATTCCATGCATCCACTACCCTCTCAGTAAAGTAATACTTCCTGTCCTGATATTATTTTTAAATCTTTGCCTCTCTAATTTAAGACTATGTCCTCTTGTTGTGATAGTTTTTCTTCTTTTAAATATAGTCTCCTCCTTTACTGTGTTGATTCCCTTTATATATTTAAATGTTTCTATCATATCCCCCCTGTCTCGTCTTTCCTCCAAGCTATACATGTTAAGATCCTTTAACCTTTCCTGGTAAGTTTTATCCTGCAATCCATGAACCAGTTTAGTAGCCCTTCTCTGAACGCTTTCTAAAGTATCAATATCCTTCTGAAGATATGGTCTCCAGTACTGTGTACAATACTCCAAGTGAGGTCTCACCAGTGTTCTGTACAATGGCATGAGCACTTCCCTCTTTCTACTGCTAATACCTCTCCCTATACAACCAAGCATTCTGCTAGCATTTCCTGCTGCTCTATTACACTGTCTGCCTACCTTTAAGTAATCCAAAATAATTACCCCTTTCAGATGTTGAGGTTAAGACTGTAACAAATATTTTTACGTCCAAAATGCATTATCTTGCACTTATCCACATTAAATGTCAGTTGCCACAACTCTGACCATTTTTCTAGTTATCCCAAATCATTTAGAATATCAACCCTGTTACATATATTTGTATCATCAGCAAAAAGACATACCTTACCATTAAGACCTTCTGCAATATCACTATTAAAATATTAAAGAGAATAGGTCCAGTACAGATCCATGAGGTACCCCACTGGTGACAAGCCAATGCTTTGAATATACTCGATTGACTACAACCCTCTGTTGCCTATCAATCAGCCACTGGCTTACCCATTCAACAATATTGGAATCTAAACTTAAAGATTGCAGTTTATTGATAAGCCTTCTATGTGCAACAGTGTCAAAAGCCTTACTGAAATCTACGTAAGCAATGTCTACTGCACCACCCTGATCTATTATTTTAGTTACCCAATCAAAAAAATCAATAAGATTAGTTTGACGTTATCACCTTGAAGTAAACTAGCCTTTACTAGGTCCACTGGGATGGCTTTACCACAAATGTATTTTCTGCAAAGTAGTATTTCTCTCATTACTCAGTCTTTCACTCTCCGTGTTCATATGCCTCTTGCCTACTACTTGTTGCTTTTCAAAATGATTAATTTACCTTTTTATAACCACTTAAAGTATTTTAACCAAAATATTTCCCTGCACACTTTCTCATATCCCAATAAATGTTCAAGTAAGAGAGGTGTTTAGTAGCACTACAATGGCTAAATCCTGCTGCTTTCAGCTAAAAGTTGAAGTCTGTGAGACATAAGTGGACATTCTCATGAATCAACTATAAATTAATTTACCCTAAGTAAAGAACAACACGCATTATTTTATTCCATATTATATCCATGGATTTTAGGTTGTGCACAGGTACTTAATTTGGTTTTGTTGATACATGTGTGCTGATAAATATGATATCTATTTGTGCTGTTTTCCGGTGCTTGAGCACAAGACTGATCTGTTTTTATTTTCTTAAATTGGCACTAGAATCACTACAACCTTTGCTTAATGCAGCAGTTTTGGTGCATAGTTCATGCCCCTGCTCAATTCTCTGCCATCTAGTCATTAAATAATTTTGTTCATGTATCCTTTGCCACACTTCCCTGCATGTGACCTAGATGGTCTCCTTACGCATTTCCTGTAAAGATAAATCTAATGTTTAAACTTCCTTTATTGCACATTCTAGTTAGTTTAGAATTTCTTATCTCCTGCTCTGCTAATAACCTGCTAGAATATCATGTGTGTGATTCAAGTTCAAATAACAGAGCAGGAATACTTTTAAAGTAAACACACTGTACTGGTTGAAAATGATCTCAGTTTACATGTTGACTTTGCAAATCCCAGCCAGGGGAAGTATGGCTATGGCAACATAAGCAGAAACAAATGTGATTTAAGTCCTAAATTGCAGAGAATTAAGCAGTTGGACTGCAGTGACATGGTGTATACACCCTAACTGCTTCATTAAGCTAAAGTTGTTTTGGTGCTTAGAGTATCCCTTTAAGGTATTTTCTGGTTTCTAGATGTTGACAACTTAATTCTCTTAATTCCCTCTCAACTCTATAAATCGTTTTTTAAGCTATGGTCTCTTTACTTTGATGCAAGACCATGTTTATCTAAATCAAATAGAGCAATCGCCATGAAAATTGATGGAATGTCTTTGCTATGTCTATGTACTGTTGAATATTGCTCCAGGTTTGCCTTTATAAAAAAAACACCTATAATGTTCAAAACAGGTCACAGCATCAATCCAGATATGGCATGAATATGCTTTTATTTCTACTGCTGACCACTCTTTCCACTTTAGCAAGTAACCTACTGCTTTTCCTGCTGCTGTTGGGAAACATTGGCAGCTCATTGTAATCTGAAACTAATCATTTTAAGTCCCATTCATCTGAAGTTGATTTGTTAAAGTATCATTACATTTTATGTCCTAGATGCATAAACATTAGTTGCATTGACTGTTAGGTCCCAAACAATACTACCTATACCATTTTTATTATTATATATATATATATATATATTTAACACACTACACAACATCAACTTCAGATATAGCATGCCTTGAATTTGTCATCTAACATCACTAATATAAACATTAAACTGAACCAGACATCCAACACCTACTATGAAGGCACTACACAAATAGCATTTCCTTCCTATGAATGAACACCACTGATAATTTATGCTATCATTTGTCCACTCAGTTACATTAATGTCACGAGCCAATGTACACAGTTTTTGGATCAGTTTACATTGTGGAGCAGTTTTAATTATTTTATATCATTTTACAAAACAAGTTGTGCTTACCATTCCATCAGTACTATCTATCTATCTATCTATCTATCTATCTATCTATCTATCTATCTGTCTATCCTTTATATATCTCTGCATATATATAATTGAAAGTGCATTAATAATACTTTAATACATTTCAACATAGTTTAATTTGAGGGCATGATATATATTCCCTTTCTTCGGGTTGGATAGCATCTGACATCTTCAGTACTGCACACCGCAGTCCTGAAAATGGAAAAGCCAGACTACATATTTCTTCCCAACAATCATTTTCTGCGTCGTACCCTACGATATTTTGCGTGGGTACCTCTTGTGCATCTTGCCATTTCTTTCCCCCAAGCATGAGTACAGTTTGTTCCACCACCACTAAACCATAGCAAAAACGGTCAAAAGACATTGGTCTCAAACGGGTCCACTGATTGTGCAGTGGATCATATTTTTCAATGTCAGAAAAAGGTTCATATATTCCTAAAAATGTGAAGATGTCATCGTTTACAGTGGCCATTTGATGTCCAAACCGTGCAATAGTCATAGGAGCTTGCTTTTTCCACTGCCCTTCCAATTTATTGAAAGAATACACATCTTTACTACTATTTACTTGACCGGTAAACTTTCCTCCAGAAATGTAAATTAGATTTTTGTGAACTGTACTCGCTTGACCATGAACTTTATAGGGTAAGTCTTTCGATTTTGTCCAAGTATTCCGGCTTACATCATAGACTTCCACAGATGAAAGAATGGCCTGCTCTATTCCTCTCCCACCCATAGAGTATATGTAATTGTCTACAACACAACAAGAGAACTGTGCTCGTTTCTCTAACATGCTAGCAACTTGTATCCACTGGTCAAACCTTGGATCATAGCGATAAACAACATTGGTGACGCACAAAGCAATTTCTTTAGTGTGCTCACTTATGTTCTCTGGAGTTTCTCCCCCAAGCACATACAGGAAGTTCCCAATAACACAAATGCAGTGAAGCTGAACTTTTTGCTTGAGATTTGTTACCATACGCCACTTGTGATTGTATACATCAAATCCTAGAACATTCTCAACAAGTTCACCATTAGCATCTCCTCCTACTAATACTATCCATTCTTTTTGATTCCGCAAGGTACTGTATTTTTCTTGTAAAATGGGCTGTTTTGTGGGACAGGAATGGTAATTTAATGCTTTTATGATGAGGTTTTTAATAGAGGCCGTCAATGGAACCTCAGACTGAGTGTAGAGTTGCCGTAAAGTATCCAATGGGAGCAACCCAAATCGCACATTTTCAAATAAGAACTTAGCATTTAAGAGCCTGGTTCTATCATACTGCAGCCATTTAAGGATTAAATTCAACAAGCTTTTTTCATGTACCTTTGGAATATCATCTGATTTTACCAAGGTCATCATTGACTTCATGTTCAACTCAAGCAGCTCCATTTCCTCTCTATCCTCTTGTAAAAGTATCCAAAGATTATTAATAATGTATTTCTCAGTCGATACTATTGCATCTAAAAGGTAAAATTTTGTTGCAATGTTGGCAGCAAAACAGCAGTTTTCCAAGTCACAGTTATTGATTAGAAATTGGCTGCACAAAAGTATAGCATCCATTACTTGCAGATAGCATGCCGCCTCAAGCGTGTCCTCTAAGCTATACATTGAAAGTGATAGCCATGATGTGTAGATAAAATCCAAAATGTTTTCTAGTCCCGTGACTGAGATCACATTAAGATGAACTACAGCAGCCTTTGACTCCTTAGTATATTCCTTAAACATTGCTCGAAAGTAGTCACTTGAACAAGCCAATAAGGATTTATGTGCTGGGAATTCATGTCCATCCACTACTAAAGAAACATCACATAACTGTCCCTGAGATCGGAGCATCTGGAACTGTGTAAACACCAGCCCTCGATGGGACTTGCAGAAAGATAAAAAATAACTCATGATGCATAATGATTTAGACTATAGAGCAAGTCTTTATAGAGCAGCACTTAGTCCTTGTACATACTACTGTAGTTTCATAGCTACTAGCATAATATGTTTCAACATTTCTTTAAATGTTTTCATAATTTATATCCTCACCTCCAAGGACCAGATAGCGACAGTAGTAACCAAGTCTCATTAAAAAATGCATCCTTTGTTATTGAAAAAAATCTGGCCTTTGCACTCCAGACCTTCTCGATAGTTAGATGTATGGTCCAGCCGGTGTGCAGAGATTTCCTTTTACTGCAGACTACGTTCTTGTTCCACAATCGAGAAGAAGTGTAATCTAACATTCAGCCTCAGCAACGGACAGAATTAAAGAAGCTTCTGCCTGAAAAGCTCTTCAGATGACCCTTTGTCTCTCCAATTGTAACATTTGTTCAAAGATCAAATCAACAGCCGTGGATTAGTTTCAGAGTCGCCGAATTTGGAATACTATTGTAAACATCCTGATTAGTCACTTCTATTGCCTGATATGTGTATCTCTGCCTGCGGTGAATGATCTCAACATAACTCACAGTTACAGGAATAGAATACGCACACAAGACAAACTCTGCATAGCACTCAGAGGACAGAGCTGGACGGGAGATTAAAAGGTGGCCGTTAGGATCTAGACAAAGAAATATTATTTGTAATGCATCAACTAATTTCAAAAATCTGAATGATAGAACAAGGGCTTCTTCACTGCTAGCTATATACTTGGAACAAAAGTTTTGCACTGCATATATTTTCTATGCTATACATAATGATAGTCCTTGTGCTTTACTATGCTATACTACACTATATGTAATAATTGTATATGCAGGAATTTAATTCATTTTAATGCACTACATACATCATACTTAAAAAATATGAAAACAAAAAGAAAAAGAAAAAATTACTGTAACGGATCACCTGGCACCCCGACTGGGTACCTCCGTTAAAGGATGCTCCTAGCGCTTCCTGAGGACTCCAAGCACTGCAGCAGACACCACAACCACCGAACCGGAGAAGCATATGAATGCTCTCAAGCATATGAATGTTGTATACAGCTGAATAGGAAAAACCATGCGAATAGGTTTACACTCCTAGCAGTCAAACTGGAACAGTATACAATAAATCCTCCCCCAATAATGAGACGACACTTCACTTTGAGGGTTAAGCAGAAACTGACTGGACTACAATTATTACATACAGCCTCTTTTATTCCCAATCCACAAACTTAGTACTGCCCACAGGGTTTTGAAACACAGCCAATCAATCCGTACAATACACACAGACACTCCCACACAAAATACTACCCTCTGCCTGTGATATGATTACTGAAAACAATGGGTAATATAATTATCACAGACAGAGAAATACAGTATTATAAAACACAACACAGGGACCCCAAAACATGCAATAACCCCATAAGTATATCCTTGGAACCGGGGGATCTGGGTGAACCACATATCCAAAATTCACCTATATCCGTTCAGTACTTTGGAAGATACAGTTTAATGCAGATTCTGCAGAACATATACAGGCTAAATGAAAAACAATTACTGTATAATGTGTCCCCTGTTGTATAGTCCAAAACCACTGCACGATGTCTCTGTGCACCAAATACTGGCGAGATGGCACCGTGTTGAAAAGTCCAAACAGTGTCTGTGAGTTAAAATGGCAGCCATCCATTGTTCTCACCATATGCCTCTGATACAGGAAATGGTGGCCACCCAGTAACTCCACAGTATGTCCCCAGATGGTTCTTAAAGGGCCAGCAGCAGCACAACACAAATCCATTATGCCCAGGGCCGGACTGGGAAGAAAATTCGTCCCAGGCATTTTTTTAATTACAGCGGCCCACTAAAAAGGAGGCGGGGCCAGATAGGGTGTGTTTTGTCATCACCAATGACAAGCACGCCCCATCACAAAGTGAGCATGTTGGTTCAATGCTCTTCCAGGGTAGACCATGCGCAGAGCTCTGCTGAAGAGCTCTGGCATGAGAAAAATACCCTGTATTTGTTCTGCACAGCGCAAGCAAATTTAATAACATGCTTGCACTGTGTTTGCTTGAAATTTGTCTCTGGTGTCTCCATAGTTGGGATACCAGGAGACAAAAATGCCAGGAAAGCATATTGTGCAGTGTGTGTGAGGGTGCTCTGTGTGTGTGTGTAAGGGGTGTAGTGTGTGTGAGAGAGGGGTGCAGTGTGTGTGTGAGTGATGGGTGCTGCGTTTGCGTGAGGGTACTATGTGGGTAAGGGTGCTGTGTGTGTGTGTGATGGGTGCAGTGTGTGTGTGCTGTCTGTGAGTGGGTGCTGTGTTTGCATGAGGGTGCTATGTGCATGTGAGGAAGCTGTGTGTGTGAGTGTCAGGGGTCAGTGTGTGTGAGTGTCAGGGGTGCAGTGTGTGAGGGTGCTGTGAGTGTCAGGGGTGCAGTGTGTGTGAGTGTCAGGGGTGCAGTGTGTGTGTGAGTGTCAGGGGTGCAGTGTGTGTGTGTGAGTGTCAGGGGTGCTGGGAGTGTTATGTGCCCTGCTGATATCCCCCCTCCCTGCTTACCTTATGCCTACTTATAGGCTATGCTACTCCTGCCGCCATCCATCCCTGGTGGTCCAAGTGGTGAGTGAACTCTAGCCTGTTGGGCTAGAGTTCACTCTCGCGAGACCCGGAGCGTTGCAATGAATCTCGCGAGAGGAACCCGGCAGAGCTGTAAGTTAAAGCTCCGCCGGGTTCCTCTGCTGGCAGGCTGGCTCCCTCCCTCTCTCCCCCGGCGGCCGCAGTATTCTCTATGTGGGCCGGTGAGGGAGATCTCTGATCTCCCCACCGGCCCGCTGTAGACTACTGCAGGGCCGGCATTCAGATAGCGCCGGCCCTGCAAAGACCAGCAGGGGAGATCCTGTGATCTCCCTGCCGGCCTCAGCCCCACGGCCACCGCGGCCCACCGGGCATTTGCCGGTGTGCCCGATGGCCAGTCTGGGCCTGATTATGCCCAAATCATGTCTTTAAAGGGCAATACATCCCAGGGGCCATAGTCACATGGCAGGAGGCTGGCAATCAGTCTTCTCCAATGCCCAGTGGCGAGGTCGGTTTCGCCACATTTCTCCCCTTTCCCAAAAAGACTAACAAGGTATCTGACCTCCTGTCGGTCAGTGCCTTGGTTAGTCCAGCAACCCACCCACAAAACAGAATCCGCAGTATAACCCACCCACGAAAATTGGTTACTACACCTGGAGTAGTGGGTTGCTTGTCCAGGTCCAGGAGCTCCACCTTGGCTCTGGGGGGTACTAGCACTCTGGGTTGCTGGGTGGGCAGAGACCAGCGGTACTCTGCCCTGGTGCCAGCGCTACCATGGGAGTAGCCTGGTTGGAGCCCAGGTGAGGGAACGGCGTAGTAGGCTCCTCACTCCAGACCTGGGTCTGCTGCTGGAGGGGAAGACAGGCTGTCTCCCCTTTGGATAAACAGCCCTGCTGCTGGAGGGGGAGACCGACTGTCTCCCCTTTGGCTAAACAGCCCTGCTGCTGGGGGACAGGACCGACTGTCCCTACCCCCGGTGGTGCATGTGCAGAGACCACGGTCCCATCTGCACTGTTGTGGAGATTACTGTCTCCCCTTGGTGGGCTAAGCTGCTGCTGGGGAGAGGGGGTAACAAGCAGCTCCTCTCCCATACATACTTTCAGCCGCTGGGGAGAGGGGGTAACAAGTTCCTCTCCCATACATACTTTCAGCCGCTGGGAAGAGGGGATAACAAGCTCCTCTCCCTGACACTCTCTCTGCTGTTGGAGGGGCAGACAGGCATTCTCCCCTTTGGATATACAGCCCTGCTGCTGGGGAACAGGACCGACCGTCCCTACCCTCTGTGGTTTGGGCACAGAGACCACGGTCCCATCTGCACTGGTGTGGGGCTTATCATCTCCCCTTGGTGTGCTAGGCTGCCGCTGGGGAGGGGGAACGAGACTCTCCTCTCCTGGTAGAATTCTCTGCCGCTGGGGAGCAGGACCGACTGTCCGTACTCCCTGTAGCTTGGGAGCAGAGACCACGGTCCCATCTGCGCTGGTGAGGGGCTTAGTGTCTCCCCTTGGTTGGCTACGCTGCCATTGGGGAGAGGGGGTAATAGGCTCCTCTCCCATACACACTTTCAGCTGCTGGGGAGAGGGGGTAACAGGCTCCTCTCCCTGACTCACTCTCTGCTGGTGGAGAGGGGGACTGACTGTCTCCCCTTTCAATATATTGTCCCGCTGCTGGGAAGCGAGACCGACTGTCTCTGCTCCCTGCAGGACACACTGCCGTTGGGGAGGAAGGACGGCACCTTCGGCTCCCTGTGACTCACTGGACTGCTGGGGAGAGGGACCAACTGTCTCCTCTCCTAAGGACACACACTGCCCCTGGGGAGGAAGGACGGCACCTTCAGCTCCCTGGGATACATACTGCCGCTGGGGATCTGGGCCAACTGCCCAGCATCCCTGTAGGGCCTGTAGAGAGATCTCGGTCCCATCTCCACCTGCCATCTGTGTGTCTCCCCCGAACCAGTCCATGAGGTCCCCTACTTCTGCAACTGGTAGTGAAGCAGGGGGTACCTCGGCTGCGTTTTCCCAACTGTAGGTTGGCAGGTCTGGGTCCGCCACCCAGTTTTCCTGTTCTGCGTCCATGCTCTGCGACTGACATGAGTTCAGTAATTCCACATAGTCCATCTCTAGCTCTCGTTCCATGGCAACGAAACGGCGGATGTCTTCTCCCAGTCCAATAGATCTCGGGCCCTGTAACATCTCACCTCGGTAATGAAAGATAGCCCAGTACCGTGACTCTGCTGGACTGCCAAAGTCGACGTCTTCTGTTAAGGCCTTCCACAACAGGCCAGGGCTAGTGTAGTTCTCCCCCTCCGGCTGGATGCCCTCTGCCCTCCACGTCTCAGGCTGGACAGTGCACCACCACAGTGAGGCGTTAAGGCTCAGTTCCCGTTCCACGAGGTACTCAAGTTGTCTGACCTGCTGCCCTCCGGGTTGGTCTCCCAGAAGCGGCATCCGCCAGGCCATTTGTTCCTCCAACTGGTATACGACACCAGGAAGGCGCTGCTGCCGTTGATACTGGACTTCCTCCAGGGCATCGTACCATAATTCTTTCCGGGCAATATCTCTCCAGTCTAATTCACTCTCTTCATCAGGTGTGTGTGTTGCCCAGGGGTCCCCGAACCCCATTTTCCCAAATCTTTGTGTAGACAGGGACGCTGTATGAACTCTAGCGTCGCCTTCAATTTGTAAATCCACGAACTGTGTCTCCGAGCTGAATGTTGTATACAGCCGAATAAGAAAACCCATGTGAATAGGTTTACACTCCTAGCAGTCAAACTGGAACAGCATACAATAAATCCTCCCCCAATA